TGAGAACACAGCTGCTGGATCACAGAAGGAGCTGAATAATCACACGCACTCACTCATTCACACACACACACTCACACACACACACTCACACCACACACTCACTCTCTCTCTCACACACACACACGTGCTGCTGCGCCGTCATCAACAGACTGTGAGGTGGAGGTGGTTTGACAAAGGGATATGATGTGTGTGCCATCAGTCAGACGAGTGAACCCAGTCATTAGGTGTCCTTTCAGCAGCCCACTCGCCCTACTCACACACACACACATAAACAACACACACACACACACACACACACACACACATAAACACACAGACATAAACACACACACACACACATAAACAACACACTCACACACATAAACACACACACACACACTCTCACTCTCTCTCACATACACTCTCTCTCACACACACACAATCTCACTCTCTCACATACACTCTCACACACACACTCTCACTCTCTCTCACACACACACAAACTCACACACACACACACAATCTCACTCTCACACACACACTCTCACACACACACACACACACTCAACAGCTGAAAGAGAGCTGAAACTAAAACCTGCTTTAAAACAGCTTATCATCTGTTGCATGCAAATGCTTTTTTGTATGCTTACTGTATATTCTAAAAAGTGTTTGAAAAAGGGTTATTATAGAACATATAGAAACAGTTAAACTGTTAAAAACAGTTAAGTTACTTGCAGGGTTATTATTGTCAATTAAAGCTACAATGAGAATCATTAAAAACTTTTTTGTTACTTGAAATAAAATAAATGTTAACTGAAATAAAATATTTTAAAAACCCTGTTATTTCACCTATTTGCCAAGCCAACTTTTTCTCAATTTAATAAAGTTTAACTTCATGTACTAAAATAACTAAAACTAAAATTGAAATAAAAATGTATAAAAATTAAAATAATTAAAAAAAACTAAACTAAAAATTAAAACAGAAAATATCAAACTAAAAACAGATTCAAAATATTATTAGAAACTATAATAGTATATCAGTGATACTAAAATAACACGTTACCTGATATATATATATATATATATATTAAAATTATACTTATTTTAGCTAGTTATCAACAAAAAATGTCAAATTTTCATTTTATTTAACTTGATGTATAATATGATAAAATATATATATCAACCTATTTAAAAAAAATAAAATAGTGACAAAGGCAAACAACAAAATTACTAAAACTTTAACTAAAATGAAAATGGAAGATCTAAAAAATAAAAACTACTTCAAAATACTAATAACTATTATTCTTATGAATACGCTAAAGCTTACAGGCACAATCCACACATTGACATGATTTGAGATCGTTTCATATTTTTATTACTAACAACAATAATAATTGTAATTAAAATAATTATAATTAAATATAGTAATTAATTGCAATTCACAAACTAATAATATTAATAACAATAATAATAATTTTTACTGTTCTTTCAGGGTTTTTTTAAGGAAAGATCATCTTACCGCAGAAAGAGAATATGTGACTGCTGTCTTCATGCACAAACTTGCGTGTCACGGCCTCCTCCATGATCTGCTTGACCTGAAAGTCCAAAAAAGAAACCAACATCTGAGAATCTTAACATTTTCACTGCAGTGTTCAGCCGCTGAGAATCATGGGTAGCGGGTGAGGAGAGTGTCCTGCGGTTGACAGTGAGTCATAAACACACTCTCTTACTCGCAGCTTGTTTTCTCTGCGTCTCATAATGAGTGCATAGCATGTGCAGGACATATGTGCACTGATCATAGCACTTTCACTCTCTGACGCCTCGTGATTCTGATTCTGAAATCATATTAATCATGTGTTTTTGGAGATGTACCATGGTATATATATATCAAAGTTTCACAGTTTTACCATCTGATACCCTCATCATACCATGATAAAATTACTGTATTTCATTCTTGTGGGATCTTAGAGGGATGGCACATATTGCCATATACGAGGCAATTAATTTTGGCTAGTGGATTTTGCATACCTGAGCCACTCCCCGTGCATACGGGTATAAATATGCGACAGGTGCATCCACTCATTCAGGTTTTTGCTTCAAAACCGAGTGGGTGAATGATTTCTTCTCCACAGAGCCTTTCTGATCTCACTAAAATAAAGACGCTGTTCCTGGTTGGCGTGACGGCACAAACAGCGGTGTCCCTGTTGATTCAGTGATTCCCCTGGGTCCTTCAACTAAAAGACCAGTTTCTCATCACGAACGGCTCGCGGCTCGCGTCTTTTTTCTCTTGGTTGCGGTCGTTACCTGTCCTCTGTTGACAGCCACGAGCATTGCCTTCAGTGTCTGGCCATCCAACACGCTGAAGCTGCATTTGTGGATGACTCATGAGTTCATTGCGAGCATATGAGCATGGCTTCGCTGCGATCTCGCCTCTCTCCTCACGGGGAATGGAGTGGCCCCCTCTGTCTCTACCCGTCCCGGTTTCCCTGTCACGAGCAGGGGATCGCCGGCTAGAGCTCTGGGAGATCTGAGGGTCACAGTGAGAGCTTCTCCGCCGGGTACATCCCTGTGGACCTCTCACTCCTCCCGCAGCGAATGTCCCGTGCAACTCCCAAGTGATTTCGCTGGCCCGGCTCGTGACGGTCCCAGCATTTCATTCGGTGTGAACCGCTGGAGGATTGGATGTCGATCGCAGCAGCTCTTTTTCAGAAGATGGCGAGAACAGCGCCACTCCTTCCCCTGGAGGAGGGCCAGGCAGGGAGAATCCTTTGTTCCGTTTTGTTTCTGTTCTGCTGCTGGTCCAACGGCCAGCGGTACCCACATTCTCGAAAAAAGAGCAGTTTCCTTTTTCTCCAGGTTATCAGGCTCGTGGGTTGGCAGTGAGCGACGCGCTACCTCCTCACTCTCGCCCACGACGCCCCCTATTGCCAGCAGCCAAGAGATCGCAGCTCGGAGACGCGCTGCCTCTCCATGCATCTCTGGCCAGTCCCTCTGGGGACACGGGGAGTCCTGCTGTGAAGAGCCAGGACGCGATGCCTTCTGTGCCATCCAGCACGACTTCCCACCTCTGCTCCACCGCAGGTGCGTTGATTGTCCCTTTGGTGCCACTCACACGGAGCTTGGAAGCATGACTCGCGCTGCCCAACCCGTCCCAGTGGCTCATTCGGACAGTTCGAATCGGCTACGCGATTCAGTTCGCCAGGCAACCCCCCAGGTTCAGCGCCGTTCTCGAGACTTACGTGGCAGCTCGAGATGCCCGTCCTGCGCAACGAGATTGCTGTCCTACTGGCGAAGGACGCAATCGAGCCTGTCCCTCCAGCCGAGATGAAGTCAGGGTTTTACAGTCCTTACTTGATCGTGCCCAAGAAAGGCGGTGGCCTTCGGCCAATCCTGGATCTACGTGTCTTGAATTGGGCCCTTCACAAGCTCCCATTCAAGATGTTGATGCAGAAGTGCATCATTAGATGCATCCAGCCCCAGGATTGGTTTGCAGCGGTCGACCGAAAGGATGCTTATTTTCATGTCTCGATTCTTCCTCGACACAGGCCGTTCCTACGGTATGCGTTCGAGGGTCGGGCATGGCAGTACAGGGTCCCCCACTTCGGGCTGTCCCTGTCCCCTCGTGTCTTTACGAAAGTCGCGGAGGGCGCCCTTGCCCCGTTATGGGAAGTGGGCATCAGGATCCTCAACTACCTCGACGACTGGCTCATCATGGGCCGGTCATGAGAGCAATTGTGCAATCACAGGGACCTGGTGCGCCGGCACCTCAGCCAGTTGGGGCATTGGGTCAATTGGAAAAAGAGCAAACTCTCCCTCGTGCAGAAGATCTCCTTTCTTAGTATGGAGTTAGACTCGGTGAGTAGGACAGTGCGTCTCACCAACGTGCATGCCCAGCAGTCAGTGCTGAACTGCCTGACTTCCTTCAGAGGCAGGAACGTGGTATCTCTAAAACACTTTCAGAGGCTCCTGGGGCATATCCCGAGATGGGCATGGCATCGCGGTACATTTCGTGTGACCATCACACCGGAGTGTCGCCACCTGTTCAGCCCCTGGACAGACCTTGCCTTTCTACGGGCCGGGGTGCCGTTAGAACAAGTGTCCCGGCATGTCGTTGTCACGACGGATGCCTCCAGTACGGGTTGGGGTGCTACATGCAACAGGCAGGCAGCCTCGGTCTGCTCGTGAACTGGTGTTCTTCTCACCGAGAAGACCCCCGAAGATGCACGATTGGAGTAGTGCTTTCTTTCCTGCAAGAAAGGTTGTCACCCTCCACCTTAAGTCTACGTGGCTGCTATCACAGCACATCACGATGCAGTAGACGGCTGGTGCCTGGGAAAGCATGATCTCATCGTCAGGTCCTGAGGGGTGCCAGAAGGTTGAATCCTCCTAGGCCACCCCTGGTGCCCTCCTGGGATCTATCTACTGTCCTGGCTGGCCTTCAGAGGGATCCCTTTGAGCCGCTGGACTCAGCTGAGCTTAAGTTCCTGTCTGCTAAGACAGCGCTCCTGACCGCACTCACTTCCATGAAGAGGGTCGGGGACCTCCAAGCATTTTCGGTGAGCGAAGAGTGCCTTGTGTTCGGGCCGGCCTACTCTCACATTGTCTTGAGACCCCGGCCTGGATACGTGCCCAAGGTTCCCACCACGCCCTTTCACGATCAGGTGGTGAACCTGCAAGCACTGCCCTCGGAGGAGGCAGATCCAGCTTTGGTGTTGCTGTGTCCCGTAAGAGCGTTGCGCATATACGTGGACCGCACCCGGAGCTTCAGAAGCTCGGAGCAGCTCTTTGTCTGCTACGGAGGTCAGCAGAAAGAGAAGGCTGTCTCCAAGCAGAGGTTGGCCTACTGGATAGTGGATGACATCGCCTTGGCTTACCATTCCCAAGTTGAGCCGTGCCCCCTGGGGGTGAGGGCTCACTCCACATGGAGAGTTGCCTCCTCCTATGCTCTATGCTCTCTAGTATGTACTCGCCTTTTGGTCCCTGCGGGCGCCAAGGTCAGCAAATTTGCGCTGGGGCGTTGGGAAGGTTACGACCTTTGCGTAGCATTTGTCTGACACACGGCTGCTTGTCAACATTTGCAGCGCTACAGGGTTGTGACGGGGTTCAGGTTGTGGCGCTTTCCATGGACCCCCTATGTCATCACAACATAACTCGTAGTAACCAACAGATAGGGAACGTCTCGGTTACGTACGTAACCCTCGTTCCCTGATGGAGGGAACGGAGACGTTATGTCCCCATGCCACAACCTCGAACCATCGCTGGT